CATGACCATGACTTGTTCTTCAAACTGTGCCCATCACAGGACCTGCTCCGCCCGCAGCCCTGCCCTGCCCTGCCCCTGCTCCACCCACATTCCACCCCTTCCCCCAAGCTCCACTTGTCCCCGCCTCTACTGTGCTGCTGCCCTGTCCCCATCGCAACTCTTCCCCTGAGCAAAGTGCCCTGGAAGGATTACGGGGGGGCCTGGCACTGGCACCAGGAGTTCTCACTGCAGAGGCTGAAGCAGAGAGACCTGGCCCCAGCCTGCTGCACTCTCCTCAGCCTGGCTTTCAGCCACGTCACTTGGAAGAGCAGAGCAAACTGGGCCAGGTTGCTGCACTTACAGCTGCTGTGATGAAGCAGAGCAGAGAAGGCTTGGGCTAGACTGCTCTGCTCTGCACAGCTCCTGCTGGTGTGTGCAGGGGGGCCTGACCTCTGCTGCCAGCTCCAGGCCCCCAATTATTCCCCAGGCTGCCCTGTGCCTCAAAGTACAGGGCCCAAGGCAGCCACCCGGGACTGTCCTATGGGCAGGAGAGGCTCTGATTGCTCATCTTCCATATTAGCTGGATGCGCTTGCCACATGGCAGTATCCATAGGGGACCAGTGCTGGAGGCCCCTGAAGTGGTGCCTGCATGGCATAAGGGGCATAGCCAGCTCCCCTCACCCTCAATTCCTGTTTGCTGGAAACTCCATCAGTGAAAAAAGAGGGTGAGTCATGGAATGAACATGAGCAACATCTTGAAGAACCCCAGTGACACAACAGGTAACTGTGTTTTCTTCTTTGAGCTCTTGCTCATGTCCATTGCACATGAGATGACTCCACATAGGACCTGTGGAGACAGATAGGAACTCATGGCCACACAGACTGTAACACAGCTCTTCCAAAACCCAGAATTGTTTCTGGCCAGCTGGCTGATTGCATAATGAAATGTGAACCAAGAACCACATCATGGCTCTACAGATGTCCCGAATCAAGATGAGTGCTAGGAAGGCTGCTGAAGATGCCTGAACTCTAGTCAAACAAGCTAGGACGATCGGCAGTAGATCCACCTTATAACAGGTCCTTATGCAAGGTGATCCAGTTAGAAATCCTCGTAAGGAAACTGGAAGGCCCTTCATCCTGACTGCTGTAGTGAAGAACTGGGTGAATTTGTGGAAAGGTTTGGTACACCCCAAGCAAAGAGTTTGTTATTAGGGATGTAAAAGTGTAGTTGAATAGTTGACTACCCGATTACCTGATAAGCCTATGTTTGTTGAGTCAACCACTCACATTCCCCCTTCCGCCTTGCTGCTTCTGTAACAGAGGCAACAAAGGGGTAGGGGGAGCAGGAGTCAGTGCTTGGGGGGAGCCAGCCTAAAACCCAGTTCCCCCCAGCACCATCTCTGCAGTGGGGGTGGGGGACAGGGGAGGCAAAGGCACAGTGGCACTGCCTTTGAAATGTAGTAAGAGCCACCCAGTTCTTACTACATTTAAAAGACAGAGGTGCAGCACGGGACCCGGTGCAATTGTGGACTGAAGTTTATGCTGAGTCCCCGACTACTGTGGCTCTTACGACATTTCAAAACCAGAGCTGCAGCGGGGTTAGCTCCCGGGGCCAGCACAGAATGGAACTGCTGTGCCCCTGCTCACACCACTCCTGGGAGCTAACCCCACAGTGGCTCTGCAGTTTAAATGTAGTAGGAGCAGGCTGCTGTGCACTTGGTTCCTCCTACATTTAAACTGCAGAGCTGCAGCAGGGGTAGCGAGCACTCCCACCTTTATCGACTAATCAAGTAGTTGATGGAAATTCCACTGACTATTAGCTGATTAATCACAATTTTACATCCCTATTTTTTATAAGGACAAGGTCCAGCTGCAGCCCCACCTGGCCTTCCTGTTGAAGACGGTGTCTTCCTTCCACGAAAATCAGGACATATTCCTGCCTATGTTGTGTCGGGAGGGCCATGGACACCTCTCCTCTGCTCTCTTGTGTAGCTTGGGAGCTTCCAAGACAAGTGGGATAGGGAGCAGGAGCCCAGTGGCGTGAGGAGCAGGCCGATGAGCAGTGTTCCCTATAAACTCCATAAGGCAATTCCAAGGTCAAGGCTTTGATCTCCAAGACTTGTCTCATTGACAAAATGACCTTCCAAGACAAGTGGGATAGGGAGCAGGAGCCCAGTGGCGTGAGGAGCAGGCCGATGAGCAGTGTTCCCTATAAACTCCATAAGGCAATTCCAAGGTCAAGGCTTTGATCTCCAAGACTTGTCTCATTGACAAAATGACCTTCCAAGACAAGTGGGATAGGGAGCAGGAGCCCCGTGGCGTGAGGAGCAGGCCGATGAGCAGTGTTCCCTATAAACTGAGCACTTGGAAAGCCACCCGGGAGGGATTCAAACACCTCCCAGCTGATTAGCAGAATGGCCACAGCATATATTTCTTCTGGTGGTGCACAGCCACACATGCCTTGATGCACATAATAAAATCAGCATATAGATGGAAAAAATTAGAGCGAACAAAGCTGGTGAGCTGGACAGAATCTGGGTACGATCCCAGCATGGGACAGAGATCCACAAGTGCGGGTAAAGCCTTTCAAAGACCCTCAGGAATCTGACTGTCATGTCATGAGAAAACAGTGAGATCTTGGATCTGTGGGTGGAATGCAGAGATGAGAGCAAGGTGCATTTGGAAGGAAAAATGCTCTAGACTGTTTCCTGAGCTGCAGCAAGTAGTCTAAGATGGATAGAAGAAAGCAGAGAAGAGGTGCCACACTCCAATGCTCAGCAAAGAAAACCTTGTCCACTTGGGCAGGTAAACAATCACTGGCAGCAAGAAGGAACTGAGGGTGTGGGAGGGGGGAAGGTCATCCCTTATACCACACCATGTGCATGTCACTCCAGAAGCACCAAAGCCAGGTCCCCTACTAATGAAGGAAAAACCTCTGGTTCTCATCTCTGCAGAAAGCCAGCCACATTTGCAGGGGAACAAAAACAAAGGACTGAAGAGGGGCCAGGTGGAGTGTTGTTAAATGTGGGCTGCTAAAGCTAGAGACGGTCCTGAACTGGGACAAAATGAGGGGTCAGAAGGCTCTGGGTTGGCCGAGATGAACCATATGGTAACAGTCTGTCCTTTCTGCTAAGGACTAATAAACAATAAACCCTTCTATTTTACAATGCTGGCTGAGCATCCCTAAAATGGGGGATTGCTCCCAAACACAGCAATAGCCCTCAGGATTTTGCTGATAATCCCAGCCACAGTGGATTCAGGGGAGTGAAGTTTTTCCAAATTAAAAATTAAGAACTATCTACAGTCAACTATGTTGCAAAAGAGACTGAGTGGACCTGCCATTTTGTCCATTGAGAAGGAAGTCGCATCAAACGAGGATCATTATGATCTGATAGCAGAGTTTGTTGCAAGGAAGTCCAGGAAAGTGGATTTCAGAATGTAAGTGGTGTGACACTGACCATAATGAGTGAGGTTCTTTTAATTATATGAAAATGTTAAAGGGAGAGAGGAGGTCCCCATACAGGTGACTTGCCTTGCACACCCTGCTTAGACATCCATCCCAGTTGGACTGGACTGGAGCTCATGGTGAGAAGCAGGGATGCTGATGGACCAGCAATCCAGCCTAGGAGATGAAGCCAAGTGGCTTACGCTGGGAGAAGAGTGGGGGCTGTGGCAGTGAAGGGGTTTACTCACAGAGCCTGGTCGAAGGCCCGTGGGTCTCGGGCAGGGGACGTGGCACTGCCCCGGGCAGCTCACACTTGGGGAAGTGGAGATGTAGCCCTGTCCCCGGGAACGGCACCATGGTGGCGCGGGGGAAGATTTGGGACACGGCACCAAACCGGGAATTTCTCACTGGGGGGGGGGCCCGCAGGTCATATGGCACCGACTCTAGGACACCGCACCAGCCCGGGGAGACGGTGCCGGAGGGGGGGGGCAGGGGACACGGAGAGACCGCACCGCTGGCGCGGCAACGTCCTGTCGTTGCTATAGAAACCGTGTCACGAAGGGAGGAACGTGCTGCGGTTGTCACGGAGCCGGGGGCTGGTTACTCACCGCGCCACCGCCGGCCCCTGGCGGGGAGGGGGGGGATGGGCCGACTCGGTGTCCTGGAGCCTCCTCGGCCCCCGGCTTCGGGCACTTCCGCCCCCGCCCCCGCCGGGTCACGCTCAGCGCTGGACCCCCCTCGGGCTCCGCCCCTTGCAACTCACTTCCGGTCCGAACTCTTCAACAGCTCCCCACTTCCGTTCCCCGAGGGGACCTCTAAAGCGACGGCGCGTGGGGGAGTTTCTAGGGCACCAGGCCCCCCGGAGGGAGGGGGGGCGGAGGGCGCCATAGAGGGAGAATTCCTGAGCCCCCCCCACCAGATCTGAGGAAATTGCGCTTCCTGAGCCCCCCCGCCCCAGACAGACGAGCGTCACTTTTTTCTTCATTTTATTGTTCCTCTTATCAAAATGTTTGTCCAGATGGCTGGGGCAGGAGGAAGGGAGGCAGCTTGGTACTAAAAAGATACCTGCCCACGCCAGCTTTGCAGTATCTAGTGAGAAATGCTACCCTCGGGCAGAGGGAGCACAAGAGGGCAGGCCCAGCCAGGGCAACAACATTGCAAGAGCTAAGGGAGGGCATGGGGACAAATACTCCAGCCATTATCCTTCACTGTCACTTTCTCCTGGCCAGACTGGGGCTAGGACTGCCTTTGAGCCCAGGACCAGCATTGACAGGTCTCATGCTGAGCCAAGGCCGAGGTAGTTTCCCCCATCCACACACCCTCCCCAGGCCCCTGGCTCATTTTGATCCACCACCCCACATGATCCATTTGCTCACTCACCATTATAAATACAAGCGTGAGTCTGCCACACACATAGTAGAACCCTCCTCTTCCTAGGATTAGGGGCAGCACAGCACCTGTCCCCCACAAGTGAATTGGAGCAGGAGCCCCAGCAAAGTAGGATGCCCTACTCCACCAGGGACAGTATAGGGGAGGCTCCCTGCATATTCCAAGATTTGCTTCTGGTCACAGTGTTGCTAGGGGGAGGGGAGGAGGACAGGTTGAATTAGAAGGGGTACCACTTAGCCCCCTCCCCCATATAGGAAGGGCAGCTAGAAGTGAGAGAGAGGAGTCTCCTTTTTGGGCAGGAAGGATGGTGGCAGCCAAAACGTTTGGTCCTGCTATTGTGCTAGGGGCACCTAAATGTTTCTAGAGAACTTGGTGACTGAGCAGCTGCTCCCTTCCTGCCTCAGGTCCTGCCATCACCCCTTCCAGGAGGGGCCTTTGAGTAGCAAGGCGGATGGGGCTATAACCCACCAACCTAGCCCCCACCCCAAGGATTTCTCATTCACAACCAGGAGCAAATATTGCTACAAATTAATCAATGAAGCAGCTCAGAAACAGTTAAGGGAGTGGGGGGGCTGGGCACTCCCATCCCCTCAGACTGAGGTGTGTGTCAGGACTCCCCTATCTGCCCTTCACAGAAGAGACCAGCCCTGAGACACAGGGAGAGGGGTGGGGTACTACTGGCTCAGGGCACCCTCCCTGCCTGGGCATGATGTGAGGCTGGGGTGAGGGGGACATCACTCCCATCTCCCTCATCCCACCCCCCACTGCACGGCATTATCGCAAGGAGATACTCCAATCAGCTCCAATGTTGACACCGGGTTTGCGGAGAGTCAAGATGGAGGTCTCTGGCTCATGCTGGAAATCCAGGCGCATCTCAGGCATGCCTGCAGAAGAGGAGAAGCAGCTAACAGAAGGGTTCCTTAGCACACACTGCCCCTCCCCACAACCGTGAGCCACCACGCACAGGACAGTCACTGCCACCGCCCATGTCCAAATCAGGAAGCCCGAGGCCCCTGTCCCCAACTCACCAGACTGTCTGAGGAAAACAGCGGCCGGCTTCCCTGCTCCTAAGATCACCACCCGCTCAATCCAGGCTGGGCTCTCAAAGATGCCTTTGGAATCTGCTGACCTAGAAAAGGGGATATAGAGTCTGAGGGTCTCAGGCTGTTTGACAGGAGGCAACCCAAGGATAATAGGGAAAGGAATAGTGCTAATGCCAGGGGGTGCCAGGTTTTTGAGGGTGGGAAGCACTGTATGTGTGGGGGAAGGGAGATTACTTGGCAGTCTGGGAGGGATTGTATGGGCAAACCTGGGCTGGTACCATTTGGAAGGGATCAGTATTGTGGTGGTGCAGCATTGGTATCACCCTTCTAGGTGGGATAGAGGTGGAGGTGGTGGCAGCCCAGCACAGTGCAGGGTTGGGAGGCAGCACCAGGCCAGCACATTGTGGGTACCTGGCTGTCAGAGTATTGCTAGCAAAGCTGAAGTGGCGGTGCAGGTATTGGGCCTTGCTCTCGAAGTTGTATGTGTGTCCATCATCAATGAAGAGGTCTCCTTCTGCCGTACCCTGTGTGGAGACAGGAGCTGGTCAGTAGGGGCAGGTTACCAGGAAACCCTCATGCTGGGTTCCCTGCATCACTCACCTGAGGGCTGAGTGCCACATAGAGTGTGTAGGGATCGTGGTGCATGCAGTCTGACGAGCGTCGCACTCGCTCCTTCCGTGGCACAATGCTCCCACCCCGCTGGTACACAGGGATCTGCAGGGAGAGGAGAAGTTAGAGGCCCTGGCCAGGGCTGGATCGAAGCCATGTGCCCTGGAGGGGAAGATCCAGTGTCCCATTGCCCACACCCGCTACCCAGGGCTGGGTCAGAGCCAGAGGCCCCCTGGAAGGGAAGACCAAATGTCTCATTTCACAGTGGAGATACCCCCATGACTCACACTGCTCATGGTGACAGGCACATAGAGCATCTGGGGGGCATGGTGCTTCTGGTGTGAGTGGACATCATACCAAACCTGCTGAGAGAAAAGCCATTACAGGAGTGCCAACAGCCAGTGACTCCCAGCTCTCAGCATCCCACTGTCCTTCTACCATGATCTACCTCCCTCCTCACCTCTCCTTTGCCAGGTAGATAGACCTGCACACCATGGGCTCCCTGCTCTGTCACTGGGTGGACCAGCAGTGCATTTCCTGGGGGAGGACACAGCAAGGTCAGTAGAAACTAGGATGTGGGGTAGGGGAGGGGAAGCACCTACCCCCCAGCCAGTGATCCCCATGGGCTGGACACTTACCAATCAGGAACTGGTCATCAATGCTGAAGGTGGTTACATCATCAAGGTACTCCACCCAGAGTGGCCTGGAACATAGTGGGGCATGAGGGAGAATCACACCCTGACCCCACAAGAGCCCCTGAGCCCCACAATCTCTCCCGAGCAGAGCTCCAGCCCCAAGCCAACCCCATTTCCCAGCAGCACCTGTCCCAACTCCATCCCCAGCCATATCCTCACTCCTACAGTTCCCCTGTTCTGTCCCCAATGGTATCTTTCCCACCCCAAGAGCTCCCCTCTTCTTCCCCAAACACGATCCTGCTCGAGTGCCCCCCCCCAACACCCCAAGAGCTCCTCCTCTACCCAGCAATGCCTGTGCCCCATAATCCCATCCCTGCTCACCTCATGACAGGCTGGCCAGAGCGGTAGCTGTGGTAGAAAGTCGTGTACCAATAGGGCAGTAGGGCATAGCGTTGGCGGATGGCAGCGCGGATCAGGGCCTTGTTCTCCTCCCCAAAGAGCCACGGCTCACGCCGCACAGTGTCCAGGTGGGCATGAGCCCGGTAGAAGGGCTGGTAGGCACCAAGCTGGTACCAGCGCACCAGTAGCTCTGCATCTGGGCTTTTGAAAAAGCCACCTACATCAGCTGAAGCAGGACAGATATGGCTGAGGTGAGCGCCTGGTCTAGCCCCAGGCCCCAGTGTCCCCCATCAATTTTCCGCCTGCCCAGCACCAAAGATAACCTGATTTTAAAACTCCTCAAGCCCCCAATTCACTGAGAGACAAGAGTCCAGAATCTGCCCCCCAACTGCCCAATCTACCAAGCCACAGTCCTCAGGCATAGGAGAGCCACCAAGACTAGGCCTACCCATGAAGAGCTGTGCCCCACATACTCACCACCACAGAAGGAGATGCCCACCAGAGCCAGGCTTAGGCACATGGGGATGGAGATCTTCATATGGTCCCACTCTGCTGTGTTGTCCCCAGTCCACACCGCACCTGTGAGTTAGTGGGCACCAGAGAAAGGGGTGAGGACAGAGCGGTCCTCTTGGGCTCCATGTCCACTGGAAGGGGGTTGCAAGACTATCCCGACCCTGGGATGTGCAGTCAGGTGCACCAAACACCCTTGTGCATGATCTTAAATAAAAGCCAAGCTGGTCATTGGCATCAGTGTGAAACATATGGAGATACTATGTGAGGTACTTCAGCTACTGACCACACCATCTGCCAGGCCATACCCAGGCAGACCTGCTAAGCAGCTTTCCACCGCTCCGTATGCAGTCACCTGCCTCTTAGGCAGCACATACATGGAGCACTGTAAGCCAATGCTGCAGAAGCCCTGTTTGTGTATGAACAGAGTGGGGGGAGAGAGATGTGAAATCAAGATGGAGGGGCCACACTGCTATGGGATGACTGTGGGGACAGACAAGGAATTTTGTGGCCCAAAAGGCATCAAACCCTCCCTATACCTTCGCATAGGAAGCAATCTGCAGTGCAATCACATGCATAAAAACAGAGTCACAGCCAGCCTCGGTGGAAATGCTGCAAAGGACATTTGGGATGAGGGAAGAGGCTCACTGCGACAGCAGGTGCTGGTTCAAGTTTGTGTGGGACCCTTCGGTCTCCATTATCCCAGCTCATAGGCTCAGTCCTGGAAGCCCTGAAAACTATCATGCCCTCTCCCCCCACCCACACTCCCCCGCAAAGCACCGGGGACAGAGCGTCCTCCATCCACTCACCGTAGCGCTGAGAGCCAGCAAAGAAGGCACGACTCAGCACAAAGGGACGCTCAAGGCCCCCCGAGCGCTGCTCCAGTCCCTGTGCTGTTGCCATTTGCTGCCAGAGGGAAAGGAGACACTGAGGGTGACAGGCAGTCTGCCAACTCCTTTCCCTAACTGTGGCCTCCCCCCTCCTTGGGGCAACACCATCCCCCAGGTGCCTGCCATGTAGTTATAA